AAAAGCAGCTAATTTGAATAAATACAAAATTTKTATGAAAGTCAAAAGATGTTTGTGCTGATACTGTGTCAACCGAGCGAATATCTTCTATTATTCGAGATTCTCTGAGTGCTTGAATTTTTAAACGATTCCTAATAAAAATAATAAGCTCCGCCAAGATCGGGAATGACCTCTCCGAGGTCGCAGACAAGGTGACTCCCTTACGTGTGACTTCTTCAATCTACTGCTGGAGAAAATAATTCGAGCTGCAGAGTTTAATCGATGAAGTAAAATTTCTATAAGAATGCACAGCTGCTGTCATATGCCGATAATATTGATATCATTGGCTTATCATGCTTAGACTAGAGCATGATCTTAAAGCTTTAATTGTCTTACTTGAGTTTCCTAATTATGTAAATGTTAATCAATTAAACAATTAAAACGAATAAAGAGCATAATTAAGACACAAGAGCCTGTGTTCTGGTTTATTAGGAGTACTTTATTTTAGATAATCTACATTTCGGGCTCGCTTTAAGTTCTAAAGCGGTCGAAACGTGATTCATTCGACGTTGAATCTGATTCTAAGTAATTCTTCACACATCTTTCAAGTCTTATTGATTTTTTTAGGTGCATCTTTAGTGCACCCTTTATACAGCAGAATGAAACTTTGGTTTTCCCGAGCATTTCTATTTATTTTTGAATCGTGCCATTTTCACTACAGTGTTGGTTCTGGCAATATTTTTCATGCCTCTTGTGTTTATTTGCATTGCTGACATGAAACTCGCTGTTTTTGTTGACTTGTGGGCGGATGTTTTTCGTGTTCGGCATGAAGTTCTATTGTAGGTCAACATACATGTAGTTGTTGTAAATTGTATTTAATTAGTGGAAGCTTTTTCGGAGGACTAACTGTGCAAGTGAATATGTACAGGTGGCTGCATGAATTGGTAGAGAGAGGTTTAAGAATTCTTTTCATTTTCAAAATATTATCCCAGTTTGGCACATATACTTGTATTATCATTATAAGGGAGTGAGAGACTTATTGATCATGAAATAATTTTTTTTTTCATTTATAATATATAGTTTTTCCCTGTTCTGAATTTAAACTTTAATTTTTTTACAATATTTCTTTTGGAAATGGAAATTCTTTACTATATCATTGGTTTGCCTTTCGATTTTTGCCATGGAAGAAAGTTTAACAATTAGTTTGCTTGAAAATTTGTGCTTCCAATGGAGTTATGGCGTTTAAATCGTTGAAAATGTTCTAGAAGTGATTTTGGGGAGTCTATTGTATCACGAGCGTAATAAACATTTTCTGTTAATGACGGCAGCGGAGTTGTGGCATATCCCAACATCACTTTTGGTTAATGTTTTGAGCATGAAGCATGTCCATGTAGAGTCCAGTAAATCGCTGAAGGCATGGAAGACCATCCTAGCAAAAGCTTACAAACAAGTGTATGGAAAATTGACATGCTTTTATTGGCCCAGAAGCCTATTTTGAAGGTGATGTTAAAGATTGCTATTCTAATGTGTGCAATGTAGTTTTTTGTTCGTCCGTTGGTATGACCACTTTTCGAACATCGAATTTTTTATTATGAAAATTGGAACTAGTCAAGATTTTGTTCGAATTCAACCAGGTTTTAAGGAATGCAATACTCTTAACAAGTTTTGCTTCGATATTTGGCAAACATCTGATTTATCCAAGGGAAAGTTATAGGTGTCAAGCTGTCATGTTATAATTGTTCTCTATTGTTTAGCATTCTATCATGGATATACGTACGCCTGAACCACCTTTAGAAGTCGTTCAACAATATTATGAAAATTCAGGTTCTGTGAAGAATATGTTTGGCGCGCTTCGCTCAACTTATAGTCAACACAATTGGTCTACTGAGCTATAGCAGCATAACTGAGAGTGCACACGAAACCCGTGGAGAGCCGATTCGTCGCCGTCTGCCGCTACTCGAACTGCCGTATGGGATGACTTTACGCATTTTACGTCGAGATCTGAAAAGGAAAGCGTCCAAAATACAGCTTGTGCAAGAACTGTTGTTGCTCGACATTCCCAAGAGACACCGCTTCGCTYCATGGGCTACTGAAAAGTTCCAAGGCAATCCAACGTTTCCGGGTCAAATTTTGTGCATCCATGAGGCCCATTTCTGGCTCAATTTGTATGTAAAAAAAAAAAAAATAAAATAAAAATAATGAAGGGCTAAGTTCGGGGGTCACCGAACATTTTATACTCTCGCATGATAAAGTGATAATCGAGATTTCAGGCGTGGTTGTGAACCGATTTCACCCATATTTGGTAAATGTCATCAGGGTGTTAAGAAAATATTATATACCGAATTTCATTGAAATCGGTTGAGTACTTCCTGAGATATGATTTTTGGTTCATAAGTGGGCGACGCCACGCCCATTTTCAAGTTTTAAAGAAAGCCTAGATGCAGCTTCCTTCTGACATTTCTTCCGTAAAATTTAGTGTTTCTGACGTTTTTTGTTAGTCGGTTAACGCACTTTTAGTGATTTTCAACATAACCTTCGTATGGGAGGTGGGCGTGGTTATTATCCGATTTCTTCCATTTCTGAACTGTATATGGAAATGCCTAAAATAAATGAATCTGTACAGTTTGGTTGACATAGCTATAGTAGTTTTTGAGATATGTACAAAAAAATTAGTAGGGGGCGGGGTCACGCCCACTTTTCCAAAAAAAATTACGTCCGAATATGCCCCTCCCTAATGCGATCCTTTGTGCCACATTTCCTTCTAATATCTTTATTTATGGCTTAATTATGACACTTTATAGGTTTTTGGTTTCCGCCATTTTGTGGGCGTGGCAGTGGGCCGATTTTGCCCATCTTCGAACTTAACCTTCTTATGAAGACAAGAAATACGTGTACCAAGTTTCATTATGATATATAAATTTTTACTGAAGTTACAGCTTGCAAGGACGGACGGACAGACGGACGGACAGACAGACATCCGGATTTCAACTCTACTCGTCACTCTGATCACTTTGGTATATATAACATTATATCTAACTCTTTTAGTTTTAGGACTTACAAACAACCGTTATGTGAACAAAACTATAATACTCTCTTTAGCAACTTTGTTGCGAGAGTATAAAAAAAAATAAATAAAAAATGCCGCTTTTGAGACAAAAGAAGAGAGTTGCTTTTTTATCCAGAAAAAATAACGGTTTGGTGTGGTTTGTGGGTCGGTGGAATCATCGGTCCAYATTTCTTCAAACATGATGCCGATGAGAAAGCAACTGGCAATGGTGACCTTTATCGCACCATGATAACCGATTATTTGATGCCTGAAATACATAGAAGCTCGTGATCACAGCGACATTTCGTTTCAACAAGATAGCAACTCTTCTCACACATCGCATTAATCAATGGATTTATTGCAATAACACTTCGGTGAGCAGATAATTTTACGTTTTTCGCCACCTAAATCGTGTAATGTCACAGCGTTAGACTTTTTCCTGGGAGGATACGTAAAGTCTAAAGTCTAACTGGACAATACTGGGGTTCAGGCCTTGGAGCAAAACATCACGCRTGTCATTCGCCAATTACCAGTCGAAATGCTCGAACAAGTTATCGAAAATAGGTCTCAATGTATRGACGATCTGAGACGATGTCGCGGCCAACATATGAAGGAGATAATCTTCAAAAATAAAAATTAAAAAGAATGTCAAAGAATGTTATTTTGAATGATAAACATTCCTCATTAAATTTGAAGCTTCTGTGTTTTTTCTTCAAAAAACCAGGAAACGTCGAAATGGATCACGCTTTACAAACAACGCTTAGGAAAACAGAGTAATTAAGCTATATGCAATATGTTGCAAGCGTAAGACAAAATCATCTCCCTAAGTGTCTAAATATATTTTATTCACCCCGAAATTGTCAAAGCTGCAAAACCTTCGACCAAAGAAATATTTACAATATTTTATATTTCTATTACATGTGATTCACTGAAAAGTAATAATTACTATTCTTAACATGAAGAAAGGGTCTTTTCTACCAACACAATYGCACTTACAAGCAAGAAGCTGCGATTAAAGATGACCGCTCGCTTTAATTTCTTACCTTAAGTTAGCAATGCGATTATTTGCTGCCTTCTATTCTAGTGGCTCGCTGCTRTAATATATTTCGTTCATTCCAAATGCAATTCAACAACAGCGGGACATTTTTTGTTGCATGCAACACACACTGCAATAGAATGAATGCACTCCGTTTGTGATGGCCACGGAGCGTGTGAATGCAGCACCGAGTGCAACAGGTTTTTCCGGAGCGCGGACACAAAAACAAAAACGCACACAGCAACAACACACATACACATATACACTTGTAAGGCCGTGTTGCATGTGKTTATGTGTCAAACTCGTTTAATGGAAGTTTTGCAACATTTTCCATTTATTTTGTATTTATTGCATTTATTTGTTTTTTTTTTTGTTTGTTTGTTGCAACCGCAACAACACACACGTATTTTAGCACTAACTGCTGCGACGGCGGCAGGGCTCACGGCGCGAAGCAGCTGGACTGGCAGGTATGAGACTTCTAGTTACGTTGGTTAGTGTGGCTGGCGTAGTGGCCGATGGGCTCGTTGAATGCCAGCTTAGCCGGTTACAATATGTTGTTGTTATTGTTGTGTGAGTGTGTAACTTGGCAGTTTGCGCAGTTGTTGCAATTTTTGTTTAATTTATTGGAGTACCAACACTTCTAACTGGTGGAAAATAAAATATTTTTTATATTGGAAATCACTAAATTATAATCATTTAATTTTAATTTTTTGTAATAATTTTTTTTTCTAACAATTCTTAAAAAAGGCGAACTTAGTTATTTAATATTACTTTTTACTAATTTTTAGCACTAAATTATCTTATTAGTTATTCGAAAACACAACTTGCCACCGCTTGGCGACTTGACTTGCCAAAAACTCACTTTGCGGCATCAAAACTCCAACTGAGGCGAACAGACGCTTTCGAATGCTCAACAATTGTCTTGCGTACGCGCACGTTAACACTCGCCGACTCGTCGTAATGGACTAAAAAGAACATAAATTTTATGCACATTCAATCTGCTCGATATCAACAGAGGCCCCAACCGCCACTACCACTACTTCGGGTGCGATGGCGACGGCTACGGCGACGCCAAACGTAATGTCGACGCCAGCACTGCTGACAGTGACGGCGACCAAGCAGCGAGCCACTCAGAAACAGTTTATAATTGTCGGGCTGAGCGAGCACTATGCACCGCGTTGCCAACAGTCTCCTGGCACTATCTCCGTGCCATTAATGGCAGCAGCAGCAGCAAGCACAGCTAAGCAATAATAATTGTGTAAACAGCGACGTCGACTGCGCAGCTCAYTGCGACAGCGTCGACTTTTATCTCCKCTACCACAATGTGCGYTTGAGTGTGTGTGACTTGTGGAAGGTATCTTCTAATTGCCGACAGCTGTGCATCCTACTACACCATCAGCATACAGATTCTACATTGGCTACAAGTGTCTTTTGTATCTATGTATGAGATACAATTGTGTTCCATTTGTGTRCGTTTAGGACGGYGTTCTCAGCGCAACGCGATGTGGAATGCATTGTAGAGTGCAAGCGCAACGTAATGCTGATTACTTGAACGGCCTTCCGCATTGGAATTGCCTTCAGCGTTCGCTCTCTCGCTTATCTTTCTGCCCGCTCTCGGCATTACTAACTATGTTGGTATCGTTGTTGTTTCCAGYKTCCACACGTTCCAATGCTTGACTTTTGTGTGATATCAAAACAAGTTTGACCGCAGCAGACTATGAACGACCGCACTTTGGTCGGTGGATGACTTTTGATAAGATACTTAGTTGCCTTGGCGCTCATAGCTATAGTGTATAAAGGACAAAGAAATGTGAAGTGAGCTTAGTAAGTATTTTTAGTAGATATACCTTTCCATTGATTAATGCCAATAAGATGGAGATAATTTCAACCAGACTGATTGATGGGAATTCCAATAAAGCACTATGTTTTATAAAAGTATTTGGGTTTAGAGAGTAGTAATATCATGAGCTCAATGAAATAATTAAGTTCTGTTGGGTCTGTGGATTTGCTCGAAGAATTGATACAACTTTTGCAGGGAAATTCAGTTTCTGAAGCTTACTCATATGAAATCAAATCGCCTRGGATTTTAAAAGAATCCGACGGCTTATAATTCGGGAATGGTGGGGCAATCACAGTGAAGGAATGTCTTGTCAGTTTTTTTCTACTTACCTTATGATAAATACGCTTTCTCAACAGACTAAAAGTAACATAATTCAAGCAAGTCCATCTTGCCAATGTGACTTTATGGTTTTCGCATTTAATGCAGGATTTGTTCCAATGAAATCTTCTTGCTGGCAGCTCTYTGATGCTAATGTAAAGGCCTGGAAYATTYAATCCGYCGACCTTATTGTCCACGCATGGATATTTTCTATCAACACATCTTACTAGGCTCAGTCGGCCTTTGCAAGAC